GATAATTCAGGATCTTTATGGGGTTTGTATTTCCTACAAAAATGTGTACAATTGGTTTTGGATTTCGAAATTTTAAACCCGTTTTCCATACACCATCTATGAGTTTTGTTGAGACAAATTTGTAATTGTCTGTCAATAGTTCGCATGTTTTTACCACGGCAAGAAATATTAAAATCATCCACGAAAAGGGATCCATCGATTGAATCACTTAAAACCTTTGAAAGACTAATTATTTTAATACTTAATAGCGTGACAGACAAAGTACTGCCTTGTGGGACACCCTGATCCTGATTGTAATGATCAGACAGGGTAGAACCCACTCGAACTTGAAATTGCCTGTCCGTTAAAAAGTTGGATATAAATTGAGGCAAACGGCCTCTCAATCCAACATCGTGTAAATCTCTTAAAATCCCATGTTTCCATGTAGTGCCATATGCTTTTTCTAAATCGAAAAAGATCGCCACTGCATGTTGTTTTTTTACAAAGGATTCTATACGCACTAAATGATCGATGGTACTTCTGTTTTTACGGAAACCACATTGAAGGTCTGTTATAAGGTTATTAGTTTCCAAGAACCACACAAGTCGATTATTTATCATGCGTTCCATGGTCTTGCAAACGCAGGTGGTTAATGAGATCGGTCGATAATTCAAAGGATCAGTTTGATCACGTGCAGGTTTAGGGATGGGTACAATAATAGCATCGCGCCATGAAGAAGGAAGTTGTACAAAAGTCCAAATATCATCAAAAATGTTTCTAAGCATGAATCCGGTAAGCGTTTCAGGAGCTGATAATGTATTACCTAGCTTGTTTGCACTCATTGGTGAACCATGGTTTTCGGATGTGTGGAATTGCAGAGGATTTTGGGATACACTCATCAGCTATATTATTGAGTTCATCAGAGAAATCCTTGATGGCATCAGGAACATCTATAAAAAGTTAAGGTTTAAGTCTGTTACAACACAGGGTTTGATATAAATTCCAGTTAGCTTTTTTAAAGTTCCATCTTGAGGATGGGGTAATATCAGATGGGTTCACAGGTTTTAATGTTGTTGGAAAATGGTCACTCCCACAGCGGTCATTGTGGACTGACCATTCAAATTCATTCAATAGGTGTGAGTTTGTAATTGATAATCAAGAGCTGAATAAATTCCTGTGCCAGGATGTAAATATGTGTTAGAACCGTCATTATATATGCATAAATCATTATCTGAACAGAACTCTTCTAATAGTTTACCTTTAGTATTAGTAGTTGTACCACCCCAGAGTGGGTTGTGGCCATTTAGACCTCCCATAATAATACAAGGTTTCGGGAGTTGGTCATATAGATTTTGAAGTTCAGTCTTCTGAAGAGTTGAAGACGTTGAGATGTACAAAGAGCATAATGTGAGGGCAACATGTAATGTGAGTCGCACGGCAACGCCCTGGAGACCAGTATTAAGTATAACAGGGCTATGGATAATATTCTGTTTGATAAGGATCGAAGATCCTCCAGTAGCCCGATCATCCGGAGGTGAAAAAGAATGGTATGCATTGAAATGGCGTAGGTCAAATGTATCCGTCTGTTTTAAATATGTCTCCTGCAGACAGATGGCTGATGGTGTGAAGTCCTGGACTAATAGCTGCAAATCATTGAAATTATTCCTTAACTATCTACAGTTCCACTGTAGAATATTATTGAAAGACATTATCTTTTGTGAGGATTTATTGGGGATCTACCCCGCACTGTTTTGTTGGGCGACAAGCTATGTGCCCTAGAATGGCCTCAAGAGATCCATATTTGTTGTATAGCTGAATTCTATTTTCCGACCCTTTTGGGGCTCTGCCACTTTGTTTTTGCTTCGGTTTATTTTTGCTTTTAACAATTTCTTGAGTATCAGATGACGATTGAGACTGTGAACGTGACTGAGAGGATGACTTATGATTAGAAGATGACTCTGACTGCCTTTTGAACGTACTAGGAAGTGATTCCGTAGTTTGAGATGATATAGCAGGATACAAAAGCTGTGGATTGTCGCCTTTGACCCAAGCCAAGTTTGTTTGACAGCTTGTGGATGATGTATATACTTTGGGGCTTGATTTAGTTGGTGTTTTGGTTATTGAAGCATAACTTTCTGTAAGTTCAGATCTCTTTACAAGTTTTTTTGGCATCAGAAAAACTGATGTTTTGGGTAAATTTGATCTTGTTGATCTGCATATGTTCTTTCCAAATCGGACACTCTTTTGAGAAAGATGAACGTTCTCCTCGACAGTTGGTGCATTTTTAAAGGTACTCTCTCTCACCACAGTGAGCACACACAACGGATAATGTGCAAGTATTTACACCATGGCCATACTTCTGGCATTTAAAGCATTTGAGCGGATTAGGAATGTATGTGTCAACATTGATATTGCAGTAAACTGTCTTCAGTGAGCAGTTGGTGACGAAAAGGAAAACAGATAAGTATTGGTCTGAACAGTTTCATTGTTTTTACAGGTTGAAAAGCGTTTGACGTAGAGTACACCTTGATCTTTCATTTCAGTCACGATGTCAAGTTCTGACATGTTAGAAAACAATCGATCACGATCTCTGATGATACCTTTGCTTGTGTTTAATGTCTTGTGAGCAAAGACAGCGACTGGAATGCCGACGAACGATTCAGTGCTCAACAGATTGGCTGATTGCTGCCGTTTCCCACACTCAACCAGTAACGCACCTGAACGTAACCGTTTAATGTTCTTAACTTCGCCGGGGATACCTTGAATACCCTTGGAAACTGCGAAAGGGTTCAACTTTAATGGTGTTTAAAGATGTAGGTTGCTTCCTCATATTGGTTGTGTATAATCATAACTTAGATTGTGGTTTTGCTTTGGAATGCGAGTAAAGAAGTGGACACTTGCATGTACTGTTCTCCTAAGGACGGTTTACGCTCGACGTCGTTCAAAGTGCATGTGTGCCTCTTTGCTTTTAATGTCGAATTTTTGAAAGCTACACTGATATACATTTGTCAGCAGGTAAACGAAATATGTAACGACAACCTGCAGGTAACAGAGGTACTGTAAATCCACATGGTCCCTTGCACGAGTGTGATTGTTTGCCATCTATAAACTGAATTAAATTTTGTCGTTTTGTTCGGTATACGTTTGTAGTATTCGGCTTTCTGTACGATATAAAATTGTGAGATATGTTACCGTTTGTGTTCATGTCTTTTACTGACAAGATTTTATTTGAATTATAGAAAATAAACTCACTCACTCGGGCAGGCAATAGTTATCGACAAACACCTTTTCCAGCAAATGTGTGTATGTGTATGTAGTATGATGTGGTAAACATGATAAAATACCATTTGCAGCTCAGAAATATGTTGGATTTATTTCCTCGTAATTATACTTGTTCATTGACAATCATAACAAAACGTGGTTTGCGGTAGACCGTCACGAATGGTGTACATGTTCAGCTTAAAAAATTATAGAACGCTTTCACTTCAGAATATTTTGTATAAAATTGATCTATAGACATGGACACCCCATATTTATCAGAGTATCACTATGTTAACGTCAAAGGAACTTATATAGTGAGTGAGTGAGTTTAGTTTACACCGCACTCAGCAATGTTCCAGCTATATGGCGGCGGCCTGTAAATAATCGAGTCTGGACCAGACAATCCAGTGATCAACAGCATGAGTATCGATATGCGCAATTGGGAACCGATGACATGTGTCAACCAAGTCAGCGAGCCTGACCGCCCGATCCCGTTAGTCGCCTCTTACGACAAGCATAGTCGCCTTTTATGTCAAGTATGGGTTGCTGAAGACCTATGCTACCCCGGATCTTCACGGGAACTTATATAAACCTCAATTTAACTACTATCTGGATAAGCTGACATCCAAGGTAATTATATGGTAAATCTAAACGCAAAAGAATGATAAACTGTATTTTATTCAGAGAAACAAAAGGAAAACAAATGACTCATTTTGTAGTGCTGTTAACCATCGTCTTTTGGCGTTAACGTTACGTTTCCAAGATTCTGGAATACAATCCTCAAGTACTCACACAAATATCAACAAGAAGACAAAGTCATCAATATCCCCCGCAATGGCAAAATACTCTTCATGATTATGTCAAATATTTAGGTGTGTATTATAGAAAAGTGGAAGGAGAGTATTGAAAGGTTTTTAAAGTTCTGCTCCAGAAAGGAGCACTATCACCAATTCCAAAACTACCAAAAAGGAACCAGTACACCACCAGATCTATCTATGCGTCAAGTTTGGTGAAGAAATAGTGAAGGGTTTTAGAATTTAGCTCCGGAAAAGTGCACTACCACCAATTTCAGGCTAAGTCAACTTGTTGCCACGGAAAAGCCAAAAATATTTTATTCAAAATTTCAAAACTACCAAAAGGCACCTGTACACCACCAGATCTATCTATGTTTCCAGTTTGGTGAAGAAATAGTGAACAGTTTTCGAGTTCTGCTCCGGGAAAGAGCACTACCACCAATTTCGGCTAAGTCAACTTGTTGCCATGGAAACGCCAAAAAATATTTTATTCATAATTCCAAAACTACCAAAAGGCACCAGTACACCACCAGACCAATCTATGTGCCAAGTTTAGTGAAGAAATAGTTAACGGTTTTAGAGTTCACCTCCGGAAAAGAGCACAACCACCAATTTCAGGCTAAGTCAAATTTGTTGCCATTGTGCCATGGAAATGCCAAAAATATTTTATTCAGAATTCCAAAACTACCAAAAGGCACCAGTACACCACCTGATCTATCTATGTGCCAAGTTTGGTGAAGAAATAGTTAACGGTTTTAGAGTTCTGCTCCGGAAAAGTGCACTACCACCAATTTCAGGCTAAGTCGAACTTTTTGCCATGGAAACGCCAAAAATGTTTTATTCAGAATTCCAAAACTACCAAAAGGCACCAGTACACCACCAGATCTATCTATGTGCCAAGTTTGGTGAAGAAATATTGAACAGTTTTAGAGTTCTGCTCCGGAAAAGACAAATGTGCACGGACGGACGGACGGACGCACGCACGCACGGACGGAGTCCATTTTAATTCCCCCCGCAAAACGCATTGCGGGGGATAATAACCAAGCACAATGTCAATAAATATCGATTGTAACATCCGCCAACTGCAATAACTTTTTTACTGACCCTCCTCGTCATTGGCTGTATCCGACGTTGAATTTGAGGTCTTGGGGTCCATTCTTGATTGACTGCTTGTTTCAATACTCGAGGATCTCTCTGGCATATTCCTCGACACATAATGTCCCAAACATGCTCTGTGGGACTGATAGGTGGACTCATGGCGGACGTTGCTATCACCTCTTGACGAAAGAAATCCCCAACGTGCACGTGCACAATGTAAACAAGCAACTGGCCTTGTGTTCACAGGATGGTGAATGTGGTAAAAGAACCTTATTTAGGATGTCAGTGACGTACCGTTGTCCATTCAGATTGTGTCTGATCGTCTCAAGGTCAAATTTATAGTCACGTAAAAGGCACCCCGACACCATCAACGATCCCCCGCCAAACGGTACTTGCTCCAAAATATTTCCTTTTGTATATGCAGTGTTTATTTGTACGTGAAAAGAGGAAATCGATTTTAGTCCGACCAGGTGACTCTTCCCAATGACTTCAAATTCCTGTGACATTGAGCTTGACACCAAGCTAGTCGTGCTGCTTTGTGCTTTCGGGATAAGAACCGACGTCTGATTGGTTGTCTGGCTCTATACTCCGCCGAGTTCGGTCGATTTCGGACCGTTCTGTTGGACAAACGACGACGTGGACTCCGGAAGAACTGATGTATCCTCCTTAGGAGTGATCGCTCATGATCGCCCTGAACGCTGAATGTCCTCCACGTCATTAGCTTGCTGATGATAGTTGATTGATGACAAACAACATCTCTTACAATGAACCCTCAGTTACACGCCTGCATACCGCATACTAATAACGTGCCATCTTTGAGCAGTTGTCAGTTAAGGAGGCCCCGTAGTTGCTTATCAACAACGAAATCAATTGATTTTCCATGTTATCGAGCGGAAATAACAGTTGACTGAAACGTGGTATTTGCTTAATTATGGTTATTCGCATGCACATGAAATCTAAAATCGAAAGGTCCAAATAATCATACAAACAAACATAATTATGACATGAACATAAATGGTTTATATGGGTTCAGAAATCAGAGGTGTTGCGATACTTTCTTCCATGTGTATATGGGTGGGCATTACTGTTAGGGTTGAAGGACATGGTGTCACTCATTACGTTATAACACTTAAAGGTGACATTTACATGACTTTTGGCGGTATCAAATATTTCATTACATGTGTAAACACACAATGTGTATGTCTCTCATGACTGACTCATATGAGGTCTCAGCCATGGGGAATACGTGATGCTGAAACCAGCACGTGAGCCTTTGGCAGAATAGAATTTGGCCATGATGTGTATGTTTCAAGTGCGGGTGTAAATTGCTATCATGTTTCAGGATGATATTATTATAAGAAACGCCGACATGTTCATAATATCCATTTATCTGAAAATCTAGTGCGAAATTCGAATGTGTAGATGTGGGTAAAAAAATATTTATAAAAAGGATAAGTCTCCCGGGTTGTTCAAGTTAAACTGAAAACACTAGTCTGTTGTGAAGCAGCAATAACCAATTGCAGTAATGTCAAGATAATCGCCAATGTGAATGAATCAATATTGTCGTGAAATATCCAAAATAGAGCAATGCAGGTGCAAAGCAGCAATGTATATAGTGGCAAACCCACAGTTGCTTTTGCTTTTCATAAATAAATGCCCGCAACAACCAAGTGTCATAAAATGCATTTAAGAAGTGTATCAGTGTTTTCTAAGTGCAAACAAAGTGAGATATTGCAAAACAACATCTGCATTACATCTAATAATACTACTGGCTGAGACATCACGTGTCGCTTAACTTGCCTCTAATATAATTGTACTACACGACTAGCCCATTATGTGTACCATCTACAAGCTATAGGCCATCCAGTATACAGCACAGAAGACGATGAAAGCGCCAGGAAAAAACACACGCGACACATTGTCCACATTCTTTGCTCTGGCTGCCCCCGAGGGATCTTGGACCCACTTGGATACTGGTTCACTGTTTCCATGCTGCAACAAAATTGTACATATACTTCAGACATAAAGTCACAAACTTTTTGTTTCAGTTATAACCACATGGGTCACCATAGAAAACGAGCTCTTTGTATTACAACCATTAGCGAAGGCCAAATACGCAGTTTTTTAAATCTTTACCGTAAAACGAAACATATTTGAAGCACAAATCTGTTGAGAAACAGTTATGATTACAACACTATTATGTTTTTTACCCTCAGTGGAGACTTTTCCACAATGTCCAGTGAGATGTCCTTTGGTGCTTGACGGCGCTTCACCTGTCGTCTGTCCATGACATTTACCAGAGCAAATTCTAGCAAAGACGCAAAAACAAAGCAAAGACAAGCTGCCATCCACACATCGATCGCTTTCACATAGGAAACCCGGGGTAGAGATGAAATGGCCATAGACTTCTGTGTTGTCATGGTAAGGACAGTAAGAATACCGAGAGAGATGCGTGCGGGGACAGCGTCCACATTAAGCCAGAAAGACACCCAGGACAGCAGAACGATCAGCATGCTGGGAATGTAGATCTGTATCATATAGAAACCAATGTGCCTGTGCAGAAGGAAGTCAACTGCTATACACGTGAAATTACCTGAAATGAAAATATAACACATAATCTTTCAAATTCTGTAGAACTGTCAAATTGTTGACTATATTCGGTAACATTGCATACTGGAGGTATGTCAATGAGCCTTCAACAGGTTCAAGTTCCTCATCTCATTTTGTCATATTATCAATGTTTCGAAGTGTTCTCAATTCGTAAAGGACGTCATATTGATGTTTTTCTTTTCTTACTGTAACTTTCTTAGCCTAACTTAAATCAAAGGCTTCAAAGACAAAACAGTATCTCGGCATAGTGTTAAATAATATGTCTGTAAATCAATTACCATCATTCTAAAATGCACTCATTTCAAAAGAGGTGATGAATTATAATAGTTCATGACAGTATTGTATTTATCTCCAATTATTGTAAAATGGTTCTAAACGCAAAATTCCATTTAGCCTATTATGATAGGGTCGTAATAAAGTGAAAACAACAAAACTGCGGTGCTATTTTGTGCCACCTGATCAATGTCAAGCCTGAGTGATGTAAACATTGCCAACACAGTGCTCTGCTTCTAATGTGAAGCGTCTCTGTGACTTATACATGTTGATTTCCCAAAGGGCTTGTCTCTGCCTAAGTGCAGACGTATAAAGAGCAAACCTCCAATAAGGGAGACGAGTTGCGAAGAGGGTTGATAGGGAATGCTAGACTGCCTCCACCATGAAAATAATCAGGTTCACCGTAACAGGTAACTTGAGAGCAGAAGCTTGAACACTCAAAGCCTAACACAATGTTTTTGTTGCTGTAATGTAGTGATTACATTACCAATCAATATCAATGAAATATATCAAGATTTTGGATTAAATAATGTGACTGCCAGGAATATCTAAAGACGTGTATCTACTGTTGGAAATATGTGATGGAATATTGTACCTAATGAAATTTATTTGCTACTAATACGATTATGCATATCCTACTGTACATGTGTAATGTGATCAATGGCAGTGAGTGATTGTGTGCTTCTTTAAGGAATCGTTTTCATCTCATCGAAAAAATAATCTTGATATTTTTGTGTAGCTCAAAAGTGAAAGAATATTTCATTTGTAAAGTATAACATGCAAGAGCTATCGACTTAGAAGACGAAGAGCAAAAACTGAACGTTATGATCCTGAAATAACGACAGGCATATGGTTTCTCGCGGGTACCTCAGAACTCATTCAAACTACAAATTACAACAGAGTAGGAAATTCATTGTATGTGGAACGAGATCTATCTCTAGTTTTATTTTGAAAAGTGGATGTTTACCGGCGTACACATGCACGACGTAACGCTTAGCTGACAGTGCCTGTACAGCACAGTCTGTATTGCTCCCTCGCTGACAATACTGCTGGGGCGTGTTTCTTTGTACTCAATGGTGGACGGATTATTTTCCAAGGCTGGTGGATGAAATTGAATTGGGAAAAACCTCACATCGCCCATAATGTGATAGCAGTGTGTTAATGAGGCCGTGAATACAATAAACCAACATTTAAACCTTCACATTAGAAAAGCTTGTACGTATAAGAGAAAGCCTGACCTCATTGCCAGGTTGCTTGAAGGGAATAAAAATAATCATCCATATCACGTTTTGACATAGTTCAAGCTGTATCGAAATAGTTCATTTACAAATAAGCACGTAGCATATTCACATCGAGATGTCTTGAAGACGGTCAATACTGAACGCAACAAAATGGAATTGGCGTTTTTAAAAGTGTTTTGATCTTTCTACATTATTCCTACGGGAATTATTGCTCAGTTGTGTGTAAAGTTGTATTGTGTTAAACTTCCGCCAGGTGTTGTACCAGACGCTGGAATAGGGGGAATGATTAGTTCCAGCCACAATGTGGTAACCTTGGATCAAAACAATCTTTAAAACGTAGTTACTTTGTGCATTGTTAAATTCCTTCTAAATTTGATAATATAACAACAATGAAAAATTTTCATGTTAACTTTATTAGGTGGATACTCAGATCATATGAAGACGACAGAACAAAATGAGATGATATTGACGTTACGAGTCCAAATGCGGGTCAGGAGTCAAGCAACAAAGTCACAATCTCAATAACAGCAATGCCCACTGTGAGCAGCGAGAGAGCAATGCATAGCAACGCATAGCCTATCAAATGGGCATGGGAGGCGTGTGGGAGGGATTGTCATATTCACTGCAACTCTGCCGCCACATTACTGACGTTATCTTGCGGATTTGGTACACGCTCGATTTCAACCCACATATGCTCAAAAGGTGAGGCATCCTGTGAATCTATAGGCCAAGGCAATACCTGAACATTGCGCTGTTGTAGAAAAGCCATAGAAAGCAACCCAAGTCGTGTGGCGGGCATTGTCCTGTTTGAATGGCAATCCTTGGTCATGACCTTGAAGACACGGAATTGTTACTGGGCCGAGAATCTGAGCCCACACCTGTCAAATTTCTCTGAACAACAACTGAAGGTGTTCTCTGTACTTATCTCACCTGAACTCAACATGAAAATCCCCCAAAAGAGTTCTTCTCCATAAGATAGGCTTGAGCATAACGATCATCATTATACGCGGTAAATCGGTACTCGTCTGTAATGTCAACAGTCCTCCACCACAACCAAGGTGGACGACATGATTTCGGCACTTCCTTTGACGGTTTTCTCAGGACAGGGACGGGACGATGTGGTCGTATCCCATAATGAAGTAAACGGTTCCTGGCTGTTTCGAGTGAGTGAGTGAGTGAGTGAGTTAAGATTTAAAGTCACAATTTCAGTCGGCAATAATTCAGCCATATCGTGACTAACACTAGTTCTAAATTCATAATACATGCATACAATATGATATATAAAACCCTATCAACGAGGGACAGTAAAATTGCTAGATTATCACAAAATGAGTTTAAACTAGCTAGCACATATCTTCAATAGTAGAAAACTAGTTTTGGACAATACAATGTAAAAATGGGCTATTGATCGCCAACAACTGAAGGTAGATCACCATACTAGGGACCATGGGGACTTACAGTACTTTTGCCACCTGCATGGACCCTAGCTGGATTTATATCATCCCTTCAACCGCTGGCGATTACAGTCGAATTTAGCCATAAATTAAAATACACAAAATACTACGCTTAAAGAATCTGGTAAGTTGAAATTTACTTTAAATGTTTCGGGACTTACGTACCCTCTCAGGAGGACAATAATGTTTTAATACGTTAACCCCCCTTTGAGGGTACAGCCACTAACAATCTAAGTTACTAATTTGAACTACCAACCATTACAAATACATCTATCTACAGAACATATTAATAAAAATTCATCAATTAAATCAATTTCTTTTAAAAAACAATAATTAAATGGACATAAACAGTGGTAAAATGATCCTTAACTGTCTTCACATTGAAAAAAAAATCCCTTATGATTAAACAGGACAGGATTAACAGACTCTCTCATCACAAGGAATACAAACGGAAGATCTTCACCTCTAAACAAATATTTGTGAGCATAAACTGCGACATCGTCACATGATGACCTCCTCAAATCTATGACAACCCAAGTACGGCTGTTGCGATGTGGGGAATGGTATGAGCAGTGGTAACTGCAGTCTGGAACCTTTGCCGGAGTTACCTGTATCTACATTGACCTGTCTTGACGTTGTAACGCGTGCACGATCGGCAATCTTATTACTATTTTCATAGCGTCTGGACAGTGCGTAACTTGTGCTTGGGGGATTTGGGGAAATGCGCAGCTAAGTGACGGACCATCCCAATGGTATGTGGGGCCGTTCATTTGCCGTTGAAGGTTTTGAACGATTAAACGTCAAATGAAGCGTGCCAAACTGACGTCAGCTTTTGACATATGTGTGCTCCAACCAGTTTATGGAGATGCAGCAACGTGTTGCATGTGCCCACTGAGGTCACGAAACGTAGGCATATGTGTTCAATTCAAGTTACTGATTACACATGTGGTTCCAAGATATATTTTGATTTCTTATGTACACAGTTTCTTTTTGTGGCTAATATAGCAACACGTGTACAAGCAAGGTTCAAATTTCCTTTCAAACTTGGGATATATATACTATCCATTTGTCATTCTATGCTTATCTAGATTTCTCATGAGTCGATCACGTAAGTGACGAACCCGTATGAACCTGTCCTGCGCTCACGTGTTGGCCCCTACGTCTGATAACGGTTCCATTATACCCGAAGGTGTTAGCCTAATTAACCTTCTAGTTCAGTGTCTGTCAATCGCCTGTCTGTCAAATGGGTGTCTGTCAGTTGGGAGATAACCGGTCCCATAGTCTTTTAATGTTGATTGGCGATACGTGGAAAAGCCAAGCCATTCACTCACAGTAACAGACAAATAAGAAACCGTTTTCCTAGCCCAAACAATTCATGTCGCATGTCCATTTCATGTAGGTGTGTTTGGCCGTGTTTGTGTTTTCCCACTTTTTGGTCGTATTTATTCTACACGTACAAATCACTCCAGATGCATGCCGACATGACAAATTAATATTTGGAAAATATCATTTTTGTATGAATATCAGCAAAATTCTGTCGGATATCTAAAATGTTGCGTTTCTTTTAAACAATCTAAAACTCATGAAATTCGCGCTGTCTTGTATATTGGGTCGGAATCGTACAACAGACTCGTCTTACTGCAGAGACTTCTTATGATTTGTTTTGAATGCGATATTCAAACCTATAAAAGTTTTTCGAATTCGACAAAACAACATTAACACTGCTTATCTTGGTCGTAGCCGCGCGTACCGTTTTCATCCTCTTCTGTGCAGTTGCGGGTTTCTATATCTCTCAAGCTAAACTGAGGCAGCTGCAGTTTCATCCGTCGCTTGACAGGGTCCTCATCCTTCCATTTGAACATCAGACTTCTCTTGGAAAAGGCAACTGGAGACAAAAGGAAAATCACCTCAACAAAATGCAGATTGTCTTCCATTTATTTACACATATTTAGTGAGTTAAGGTACCGCGTCTCTTACTTATATCAGTTTAAGTGAAGTCAGACCAAACACAATAATTACCTAAGCAGTGATTAGCCATCGTGCAGTGTAATCATAACATCGTGTAATATTTCCAACAAGTACTCACAGCTTTGAACCAGCAAGGAGCACATCTGGGAATCCATGGGGTACTTCTGCAACTGCATTGGGCAGGATGCTGTCAGGGACACCCTATGGATGCAGGCATAGCAGATGAGCGTGTATATACAACATTGGTATATAACACAAATAGGTTATTTAATTGTAATGACGGTCCCTGCTTTCTAAAACTGGGGAATATGCCCGACGTCAACTTAAACTTGGTACTGGAATAAAGGGGCTCGCTTTTTATTGAAGGTCATAGCTTCTTGCCAGATGACCACTGTTTATACTTGATCATGAATGAATAAATGAATGTCTTTATTTCCTCCAGATAGGTCCGAAGATCCTCAAAACATTATGGTTATGTAATTATATAATCAAGGAACAGAATACTCAACAAACATAAACACACATACATACATGTACATACATAGAATAATATGGTAATATTTCCCCAAATATATACAGGTTATTAACAGTCAGGTATTGGTTAGATTATTACCACAAGTGATTGAGGATATCTTCTAGTATATACCAATACTTTAAGAATTCTATAATAGTAAAATGCCATGTTATTTCATGAATATAATTGTTATTGGCCCCAAGAAAGAATGCCAGCACGTCATGCTCTTCCATCATCTCTACTTTGATATACATTTCAACATCAAGATTATCTATTACAGTTGAGAAGAATACATCTCTCTCTGAAAGTAGATATCCACAGTTTAGGATAACATGGTCATAGTAATCATTAGCAAAGGTATTACATTTTTTACATTCTTTTGAAATTTTGCTTCCGTTTCCAATCCTTATTACATACTGCAATTCTTCTCTCAGTTCTGGATATAAGTATGCCATGCTGTATAACACATGAGGTGAAAGTGTTGTATGAATTTTAGAATATCGAGACAAGTCAGCTCTGCATGATAGTTTATACATCATTACAATTTCAAAGAATATCAGCTCAAGAGGGTTTCTTTATGATAATGCTAACTAATATCAAGGTGAAATTCTTCACAAGATACCCTCAACTTTTTCGCGAACACCATCAATAACTACAGATACCCAGTATGTATTCAGTGCAAACCCGCACCATGATAATGAACCATAATAATCACGTTCCACAGGGCTCAGGGTGATCTCGCCTCGTGGTGCAACAAAGTACCATTCGTGTAGTCTCTTATTCATAAGCAACAACGTAACGCTTTCAAAGTGACAAAGAGTGTCCTCTGTCAACTTTACCTACACATTGTATGACATGTTATTGTCCAAATGATGTAGTATATAGTAATACAATTGTCCACATGATCTAGTATATAGTAATACAATTGTCAACATGATTTAGTATATAGTAATACAATTGTCCACATGACGTAGTATATAGTAATACAGTTGTCCATGATGTAGTATATAGTAATACAATTGTCCACATGATGTTGTATATAGTAATACAGTTGTCCACATGATGTAGTACTGTATATATTTTCAGTTGTCCACATGATTTAGTATATAGTAATACAATTGTCCACATGATATAGTATATAGTAATACAAAAACATTCAATGTCTACCTTAGTTTGTAAACTACGTGGCCGTCACTATACAAGTGTAGCATTTTGTTGGGTACGGTCACAGAGTGGAAGGACGCTCGCTTCTCGTTAGAGAAGTACAGATCAGGTACCCACACGCCGTCCATTAGTTTCGTGTCCAGTTCCAAATATTCAGCATCTATAAGGCCCAGGAACTCCAAGCGTTTGTCTTTCCATTCTTGGACTACGAAGGCATTTAGACTAAATTCCTGAAAGCGAGATTGGAAAATAGGTATATTCAGTCCGTAAAAGAGAATCAAAGTATAAATAGCAGTGTAAATATCAAGAGGTAGAAAAGTACTGTAGTGGAACTAACTTTAAACTGTACCTTACCATTGTCTGTTCACTTATGGAGTCGATGTTGTTGATGAATAGTGAAACATCAACCTCAGTTGGCGTGCCTAGAAATGCAAAATGGTATTGTGATCATGTGGTGGATTTACACAACCAATGTATGCAAAGCACTCGCTTACAGTATATGTGTTAAATATTTTCACTTTTTTCATACTTTTGTCAAACATCACTTCAGAGATGTGGGCTTCAGAGCGGGGAATATACTTCTCAAAATTAAAATGTTAACACCGACATAACTTGTATTAATTTGAGGGAGTGTGTGTGTGTGTGCGTGCGTGTGTGTGCGTGCGTGCGTGCGTGCGTGTGTTATCCTTTTAGTTTCTTCATGTGCCATACACACGACAATGACATGTAGGCGGTTTAACGTGGCTATGGCGACCGATGTGAAAATGTTGTCCGAATGCGTGAAACACGATCGCACGCGTATCGGAATGCAAGCACACATACATTACTGAACAGGAAAACGCTCTATTTAAATAGCGACTTTGCATCTCGCAAATCGGCATCATGAGTGTACAGCCTTTGCACGAACGATCCCTGTAGTCGTCAGAAAATGCATTAGTGTAAACAAACGGGCATCGTTACAGGGAACCAAGATGACGTACAAATCACGTTACGTCATTCCGCATTGAAAGTGACAAAGTAATGTTTGGGAAGCATTTTGTGGCAATGGTTGATCGCGACTATCGTCCAGAAGAATCTTACTGTCATGCAGAATCAGGACCATGTTTTGATCCAGTCCTTCTGCTATTCATGCAGTTACATTGTCCTGGACTGTCAACATGACAAAGATAACGCCCCATACTGCAGTTCTGACACGCAGAACGCCGATATTGGTATTGACTGGCCTTCCCTTTCCTCAGACTTGAACCTGATCGAACACTGTTGAAATGAGCTGGGAAGACGAGTGCAGCAGCCAATGACTTAAACTGTTCCAACTGTTTTCTGAATGTGAACTTCGCGTTGGGTTTTGGCTTCAAACATACTTATTGTTTTACTGTAAAGAACACATAAAACACACACACACACACACACACACACACACACGCACACACACACACGCACACACGCGCACAATCTACTTCATAATACTGTTCGCAAGCCTTTTAATGTTTGATTGATCTGACCACAGGACATAGAAAAAACACATAACAAGTATTGGATATAGGTGCTGATGCATTATTTGTATTTGGAAATTGTTTTGTCATAATGCAAAACAATATAGCATTCCATGTTCTGACAGTAAGGTTTTTAGTGGTGTTGGTGTTTTGTGACTGTGACAGTTGAACGTATTCTAAAATTAAGACCCCAGAGAGTATAAGTATATACTACATTTTGTCAAATTCCCATAGTTCATGCACAAGACGTGACACATTGGAGATGATCTTCAAGAACTACATGTGTTAGAATGAGTGGACATAGGATTCGTAATCAGCTACACAAATGGAACCTGCATGCCCGACGTCCATGTGTTATCCCACGACAGACGGATCATCACAGTACCAGCGTAACACCATCCTGGAGGCACGCGTGGTGCCATTTGAGCTTCGAGATGGACGTCGTTTTCTGTCTCAGGATGACAACGAAAGACCACCCACGGGTCGTATTGTCACTGAGTACCTCCACCAGAACATTACCACGTTGCCATGACCAGCACCCAGTCCAAACTTGTCACCTCTCGAACATGTCTGGGATATATCCTTGCACGGCGACATATTACTTTTTGTGTTTCTCCGTCAATAGCCACAGACTACTTGGTCTTGGTGCTGCCCTACAGGAAGAATAGGATGAAATGAACCAAGCTGATATTGTACGTTTGATTGGGAGTATGCTTCGTCGTGTCCGGAATCGTCTTGAGAATAGGAGGCGGATAGTAATGAGTAAGTTTCGTGATAAATGACGTGATGGACAGTAGGGCGTTTTGGTCAGTCATCTGACAAAAACTATGGTAATCGGACATTCAACAACGATCGTCGAATGCAAACCTGAGTCAGATGTCCCTGTTTCACTGTTGTGTCTGACTGTTGTGACACCCTACGATCTTGAGACGTTACTGAGTTCTGATTACATAATTCATCACTTGGTGTTTATCTAAATGAAAATTCTTGCCGCAATTCGCATACCAGAAACACGTTTTCCTGGGTTTCCACGGCCACATTCAGTATGTTTCTTGGCTTTTCATGATAGTGCAGCAACGTCCAGGCAGCATCACAGAGGCGATCATCAGCAAACCTGATTCGCAGCTGTCCGAGGGTCAAGTCCCGTTACAACAAGAATCCAAACCATATACTGACTGCCAGGCAGCCCTGCAGTATCCAGCACCTCATATACAATGGCCAACCGTCCATACCGTCGCTGATGTTGACAGTATATTGACATGTATATTGACAGTATTGGCGATTTAGATATTAACCCAACATATACCCAACATGAATATACAAACATGCCTGTACTCCTTGTGAAAACCCATATCCCGCCAAAGTGCCAACAATACTGGTGAGTGAGTGAGAATGTCAGTTTAGTTTTACGTGTTTTTAGCAATATTCCAGCGATATCACGCCGGGGAATTACATGAGGAATCGCTTGCTCCCGTTTCAAAGGGAATTAAACCTCTTTCATTTTAAAAGCGCCATTAGCATCATTTTGTTAAGATGTGACATCACGTAACATTTCTAGGATGTTCCCCTAATATTTTCAAATTATTTCCATGCGTGATCTTAATGTGAATGAGTGAGTTAAGATATTAAGTCACATCGGCAATATTTCAGCCATGTCGTGACTACAAACAAGATATAATTTTATAATAAATAAGGTAAATTATAAAAAAGAAATATCAGAGAATAACAGTAAAACAACTGGTTTATCACAGATTTCAATTTAAAACTAGTAATTAACGCTAAACATTTTAACTATAGATGGCAATACAATATAAAAACAGGCTATATATTGCCAACAACTGAAGTTAGATCACCATGCTAGGGACCATGGGGGCTTACAGTACTTTTGCGTCCTGCGTGGACCCTAGCTGGATTTACACCATCCCTTCAGCTGTTAGCAATTTAGACAAATCTAGCAATACATTAAAACGACACATATTCTACGACTAAAAAAAGAGTGGGGAGATTAAATTGACTTGGAATGTTTTGGGACTTACGTATCTTCTCAGGAGGACAATAATTTTACAATACTTTAACCCCCTTGACGATACAGCCACTAACAACCTCAGTTACTTATTTATACTTCCAATTATAAAAGACCCGTGAAGATCCGGGGTAGAATAGGTCTTCAGCAACCGCTTGCCATAAAAGGCAACTTTGCTTGTCGTAAGAGGCGACTAACGGGATCGGGTGGTCAGGCTCGCTGACTTGGTTGACACATGTCATCGGTTCCCAATTGCGCAGATCGATGCTCATGCTGTTGATCACTGGCTTGTCTGGTCCAGACTCGATTATTAACAGACCGACGCCATATAGCTGGAATATTGCTGAGTGTTGTGTAAAACTAAAACTACTCACATCTACAAAAAATATCCATCTACAAAACATATTTCTCAGAATTGATCAATCAATGCAATTTCGTTTAAAATTCAATAATTAAATGATAATCAACATTATAAAAAAGATCCTTCATTGTTTTGACATTGAAATATTTATCCCATGTGATGGAAAAGCGTGAATTTAAAGTGCAATTGAAACAACAACAACAAAAAATGTCTATTTCACATTTGCCAATACAAGAGCGAAGATACGGGATCCAGTTTGATTATATATGTATGTGATGTTAATTACACTCGGTTTCCTTAAATCATTTACAACAGCATTTAATGCTTATCCTAACAGCACAGCTATTTAAAAAAAAAAAATTAACACACTTTGAACTTTGAAAGTTTGGCTTGTGTCTGATGTGTCCTTTGTAAAGGATGTTAGGCATAACAAGGACATTCTTTTGAATATTTGTAAATGAATTACTATATTAAACGAAAAAAATGTATTGCGTTTTTAATTACGAACATTCGGAACGATTTGTCGTATTTTCGAAAAACATATTCATCGATAGGTGGCGAGTTTTCTTGCAGGTAACGGAAATGATGACAAATAGAAATACCTTCATCAAACGTTGGGGTCACTCGGTTATCATAATCCTCAAGAAGTGCTTTGATAAAGTCCGTCCTGAAATGCACAACATATTCATGTAGCACGACGCCGTTGTAATACAATAAACGTACAATGGCAAAATTATGTAGATTTTCTTAAGGTTAAATTAATGCGTAATACATTACTGCGCACGTTATTTCCTTTATGAAATCTTTGCCTGCTGGGCTCATGATACACCTCTCGATATTTTGGTAATGCAACTTGATTATATAGTATTAATAGATGAAATTGTATTTCCAAAATATATTTCAAGAAAAATTTCATTCAATAGATTGTAGTACAGAATTGATTTTCTCATTAACGTCATTCTAATCACGTTATAGACATATTTAACACACACATAATATATACACCATAGATGTCCAGGTACAACTAGATAAGAATTTACTGGGTAGAAGTGTACAACATGTTAATGGAATTCACACACGAACATAGCAATCCTCGTTCGAAGAAAAGAGGGGTGGTGGGGGAGCCTAGTGGTCAAAGCGTTCGCTCGTCACGCCGAAAACCTGGGTTCGAATCCCCACATGGGTACAATGTGTGAAGCCCATTTCTGGTGTCCCCCGCCGTGATATTGCTGGAATATTGCTAAAAGCGGCGTAAAACCAAACTCAGTCAGTCAGTCGAAGCAAAGACGTGAATGTGCTATATATAGTGCACATATACTTGAGTAAGAGTTCTTTGTAAGATTGGGATGAAAGTAGTTGAACAAATGGGCTGAACAGGTGATGACTTATATAATCCAGAAACTTATATAATCCAGCATGTTACTCGAGGTTTGGTTCGGGTTATCAATCTGTAGTTTGTTAAGGCTCATAATTTTCTCTTGGGCACCAGTGCGCATTTATGGTATATTTTGCTACCTCCAAATATATGACAAGAGCAATTCAATAAAGACAACGAACAAAGTATAGCAAGCAGTTATTATTCCCACGCAGGAAACAAACAGAGCCCAGCTGTGTGACACGTGCCTTGAAACACGTCCTCAACACTAGATTACGTGATGTTATTAGAAATCGGAATTCAAATCAGTTAACTTCAGGGGGAAGCAATTTTCAAAGTGTGTTGGACACCGACATTGTTAATGACTGTGCAATGTTTTATACTGGCATTGAAAGGGCGATTGATGTCTGTTTATATTGTGCATGGGTAGGGGTAGCATGAATCGTGTGTTTCATCATTTGGTAATTATTTTCATTTATTATGTCTGTAACAAAACGATTTTGGGAGAGTATATAAAGGATGCTGATGTACCAACATCAAGAGTTATGTCCACACACGAGATGGAATAGTTTGAGGTACCAGTCGGCCAAAACAACCTGCCACATGCACCCTGGTATCTGATCTGCGCGTTTGATCATAACTAAGCATGATTTAGGGGATGACATTTGGAAAATACATGTCAGGAATTGGTAAACATGACATTTGTTCTCAAAGTGAATTGTAGTGTTTCATGTACGATTTTGTGTTTGTAATCAACTTTGATAAACGGGTGTTGCTTTTGAAAGTATTTTGTCACGAATCCCCTGAACACAAGGATTTTAAGTACATGTCAAATATGCAGGACAAATATTTTTGTTCCTGTCAACACACAAGTTAGATGTGTTGAAATCATGCCAATATTGAATAATGTATCCTTATATATTAACGGTCTACTTTAGAATGTTTTAAATGTATACAAAATTGTCACCAAAACATCTTTTAGAAACTTATCATTTAGGCGTGTGTGCCATTGATGTTTTCTTGTTTATTGCTGCTGTCTTGTTGGTTATGCAAAGGTACACTGGCTGCAGCACAGTAAAGACACGCTGAACAACCATTAGGAATAGTAATTAACAGGATATTTCCTCAGTGTTCTCTCGTCACACTGACTACGTTTTTGAGTGAGTGAGTGAGTTATAATTTATAGTCACATCGGAAATATTTCAGCCATATTGTAACTAAAACAGTTAATATGATAACAATAAATATTATAAAATCTGTCGACAAAGGACAGTAAAACATCTAGAATATTACAATTTGAGGTATTAAAACTAGCATTTAACTTAAAAATATATGACTATTAGGGACAATACAAAATAAAAATGAGCTAGAGATCGCCAACAACTGAAGGTAGATCACCATACTAAGGACCATGGGGACTTAAAGTATCTTTGCTACCTGCATGGACCCTAGCTGGATTTACACCATCCCTTCAGCCACTGGCGATTGTTAGAAAATTTAGCCATGATTTAAAATCACAAAGATACTACGGTTTAAAAAAACTGGTAAATTTAAATTTCCTTTCACAGTTTCGGGACTTTCGTACCCTCTCAGGAGGACAATAATTTTACAATACTTTAACCCCGACTACGTTTTTGAACGTGAAACGCGTTTTATAACTGAGATTATCATTGAGGGAATTACATCAAACATTTTGGAAAGCTTACACATAAGTTGGGTCGGCTACGATTAATGTCCACATATTATGTAAAATATATTTATATGTATTGTTTTTAACATGCTTACTTATTCTTTTGTCAATAGTTTCAGTTTAAACATGAACTCTGGCTTTTCGCCCTTGCTGATATGCCCCAACAGAGACTGTGCAAGCTCCTGGCTGACTGAGTGACAAAGCCATTTGAACAAGTTCACAAGGTGCGGCCCAACAACAAACATCACCTTTCGGGGTTGGCGCGGACGCCTGAAGAAGCTTGCGTTAAACACATGCGACTTGATATGATCAGAACAGCAATATTTCAGCCATATTGTGACTAAAAACAGTTAATATGTTAACAATAGATAATATAAAACCTGTCCACAAAGGACAGTAAAACAGCTAGAAGATCACAATTTGAGGTGTTAAAACTAGCATTTAACTTAAAAATATATGACTATTAGGGACAATACAATATAAACATGGGCTATGGATCGCCAACAACTGAAGGTAAATCACCCTACTAGGGACCATGGGGACTTACAGTACATTTGCTACCTGCATGGACCTTAGCTGGATTAACACCATCCCCTCAGCGGCTGGCAATTGTAGGAATGTTAGCCATGATTTAAAATTACAAAAATACTACGTTTTACAAACCTGGTAAATTTATATTTCGTTTGAATGTTTCGGGACTTACGTACCCTCTCAGGAGGATACAGCCACTAACAATCTAAGTTATTAATCAAAACTACCAATGGTTAAAATGCGTCTATCTACAAAAAATATTAATCAGAATTCATCAATTAAATCAATTTCTTTTAAAAAACCAATGATTAAATGATTAAACTTATCATTTGTAAAAGACCCTTAACAGTTTTTACATTGAAATATTTATCCCTTATGATGCTATACATATTTCAAAATGATTTGCTGTGTTTGACAGACAGATAGCAGTTTGGCATGGAGTAAGTCAGTCTAAATGTCATAAATGGTAAGGAAATAAATATTTTACAAAATCGAAGTCGTTCATAAGCTATAATTCATGAAAGCTTCGTAACTTTTTCTGCATTGTAATATGTTATTTAATATAAAACGGTTATTCGTTTGCATAACTAATATCACAAATCTTTCCTTCTAAAATTCACACATACATTATACAACTAGTTGCAATACCTGAATGTCAGCAATGTTTATCATTTGGAAATATAGGAATGCTTATTATATTATTATAACTTGTTTTATGTGAATAGTAATATAAAAGCAATAACATATCGATATGTGCTGCAGTCGGTCCATGTTTCATCGTTCCAACGAGCTAACTAAAAAGCAACGTTGAAAAAATCAACACAAAAACGATATCCATTTCTAATTCCTTTTATTCAAGGGTTAACACCATGCTGTTGCATAATTAATGGGTCGGAATGTCAAACACTTATAAGGTGGATTAAGAAAGGTTTGATGTCTCAAATATAACCCGGCAAGAAAGAGAATAATCTTGTTCGATAATGTCACGGGGTCTTCATGCCTGCAAGGTATATGCTTCCTTGCTACCAATTATCACGCGTTACAAACGTCAATTATAACAACCTACGTTCCTGTTGTTGTAGTTAACTATCTATCTTCATATATAATACCAGGAACTCTTACCACGTGCGTAATTATACCAAATGTTCATGAAATCCAACAACAAGCCATTCGAAGTTTTTCCAATTACTGGAAATGGGATTATGATGTCGCCCTTTAGTGGCGTGAAGCCAGAATTCAGGCACGGAAAAGGTATACAGCGATTGACGAGATCATTTCAGATAAAGTCAACAATATACGTCAAAGGAACCGCCTAATGTTACTGTGGCTGGGTATGGATTGTGATCTGAATATAATAGTTATTGGCGACGATTTTGTTTTTGCATTTTTGATTTGGCACATTCCCCCAAAGATGACTTTGCCAATTTTCCCTCACATACGACAAATTAGTAGCGTTCGTAGAACGATATTGGTCAAGTTTTGACAGCAGACATTTTAAGACAACATGACAGTTGAATCGTAACCGTTTGGATTCGCACAAACCGTCTTCAGAAATGCCCCTTGAGGAATGTCAAATATATGACAAACACAGCCAGAGGGTCATATGACCAAGCCACAGACACCAGTTTGGTGTCCAGCCACTTCAAAGAGCAAAGAGATGGTCGAGAGCTGAGTCAAAACAAGTAACTGCTGAACAACCCTTTTGTGATCCGTCACTACAATCAAACCATGGGAGGAGTTGATCGTGCAGATAAAAATGTTGCGAAGTATCGCACAGCCATTCGCTCACTTAGATCACTTAGTTCAGAGCTGGCCTGCACAAGAAAGGGTGCATCTAGAGGAATGAAAAACATGCTTTGCTGCACCAAATGCGGAGTAGATCTCCATGATAGGTACTTTGTACAGTATCAAAGCTTTGTCCAAAGATGCATTTGAAATGAACTCTCTCATGCTACCAGAAATGGACTTTTGTTCGTTTGATTAGTGTAATAGCAAGTCCAAATAATGATGCTAAGTTGTTTACCTTTAACTGTCAGTTCACTTCAATAAAAGTTCATCTTCTCCTCTAGGTTTATTCATGTCTGTATTCTGTAATTCGTACCCACCATCCCATTAATTGGACAGTACAATTCTCTCCGCTAAATGAAAATATAGTGAGTGAGTGAGTTAATATTTGTCGTCACATCGGCAGTATTTCATCCATATCGTTACGAGAACAATTAATAATATTAGAAGCTATAAAACTGTTTACGATGAACAGTAAAACTACTAGTGTATCACAGATAGAGATATAAACCTAGCATGTAACTAAAAACTTATACTATAATGCAAGACAATACAATATAAAAACGGACTATAAATCACCAGCAACTGTAAATGACAAAATTATAGTATTAACTTACAATAAGCCTTGATTATGTTAATTTGAAAACGTAACTGATAATATCATAACATATTTACTCCGAAAAAAGATTTGGGCATTAATGGGATAATTACTGCTGTTCTATTGTGTACCACTATTGAATTTTTCACTTTACCATAGTATTTAATTTGCAGTAGTTTCCGTCGGTTTGTTAACCTGGGCAACTTTATTAACATAAACTGTATGACATTATTCGTTCTTTGTTTGGATTAACACCACATTACTTTCCGTGAAGGTTTCTGGTTAACTTACTGTTTCAGTTTGGAAATCAACATGCATGTCAAACCAGGACTTCAAATTCATTTGTCAAAATTATAAGATGATTAGTGTTTGTACAATAGTGTGTTATGCGTGTTAAACATTCAAAGACGAGTTGGTTAGTAGACTTTCTGCTGAACAAGTCACTATGTTCAAAAACTCTTAACTGATGAATTTGCCAAATATTACAAACTTTAGATCAAATAAGGTATGATTTAGACCGATCTAAAAACTTGTTCATCATGATCAGTTACCTGGTTAACACTTTTGGCCGATGAATCTTTGGATTTGATTAACGAAAAACTGTCTTGGCTTTACGTATATGCTATATGTACACAAAGTACGTGTTCTGGACTACCAGTTGCCCCACTTCCATTCCTGTGAAAGTCGCGGTGGTTGAGTGGGTAAGATCGTTGTATGATGTCAAATAGTTGCTTGACTCCAAGAGTGTGGCTTCGATTTCCGGATAGGACCAAAACAGTACTGGAATATGTACTTCACTGAGAAAGTGTAATCCCAAATATAACATTTGTTACATTTGATCACTTACTTAATGACATTGTGTATGCATGATTTTCTCATTGTCCAACATGACGTTGTGATGAGGGCTATTGATGATGTGATCTGAGATGTGGTCCGCAGTCACAACTACATTTCTAGCAACATGGTCTGTTGTGAATGTGGGACTTTCCCACTATTTATAGCAGCCACTATCCACTATTCTATCACTTTTTATACCAGCGTGCTGGAATGTAGTTGAATCATCCTTTTATGCACAGAATATTTCAGATGTTTCTTGCAACTTATGTTTGTGTATATAAGGAGAGTCAACTCAAGTCACAGGAAGACCATCATTTTGTGTGTTCACAGGTGATAGGTGAATACAACCATCATTTGTCTTATTGTTATAATCACTGATGTTATGTTATATTACCTCTGAATCTATTTACTACTGGCACAGTGTTACCTTTAAAGAGATTTGTGAGTATTTGTGAACTTAGTCCATTGTAGAACACAGTTTGAATTGCTCGAACTTTCTGTTGTTGTTTTTGGTTTCCTGCTTTACTATATAGTTTCAACTTGGGGATACTTTTGGGGAAAAACTTCGCATTTTTGTTAACGTACAGACGTTTTGCCAGTCATGTTTTTGTCTTTCTGTGGATTGACCAAATAATTGGCAATGGTATTGCTGCTCTGTTGGCCATGCGAAAGTCATCATGTATTTGGGTAAAAGATTGGATTTGTGCCCTCACTGCGGTAATTGTTATTTGCACAAAAATATCTCGCTAAAACTGAAGAGAGAGTGCATTTTAGATTCGGACTTGGTGAATGAATGATGATGTCATTGTATAGAAATATTTCAAAGACTTTTCCTCATTTGTAAATGGAAGATAGAATTCATTACATGTGCTGCATATCTTTACTGCATTACTTGTAATCACACTTACTCGTTCTTGTTGTAAAAGAATAGAACAAACTAATAAAATTTCACATTGTCAAATGCGCCATGACATCGTGAAAGCACGTATTCAAAATTATTACATGTTTATGTATCATTGTAACTCTGTTGTGTCTGGCCAATGGCATTTCGTACAACAAACAACCGATCTACTAAGTTATAATATCAGTACTTGCAATTGTGTGTTATCAAGTAACGTACCTTGATTGAGCGTAAACAGTTTGTCCTAATGACATCAGTGTCACAAGCCTGAAGACATCATACACCGACGGCATTGCAGCAGGTGATGGTCATGAAACAGGTATCAAGAACGCTGAAACACACATGATATATTTATACGCGATAGAACATAAACTACATGGGTATTCGTATTAATACCATACCAGTAATTCATAACAGGTTAAAACTACGAAGTTTTTAAAGTAAACACAGTTTCCATATTTGATCCCCAGCAAGAATTCCATTGTCCACGTGGGACAACGTGAACATTTATGATAACAATAAACCATGCAGTGAATATAATTGGCTGGCGCTATATTTGATGATTCAATCATAACTTTTATTGATAATATATATTATAATGATAATAGATGCAATAGCCGGACAATTCACAACATGAGGACACGTGTGCATCAAACAGGTACGCCATCTGATCGCCCAATGTCAGGACGGAGACGTGTAACGTCATTTGCGTAACCGATTTTTGACCTCAACGTCAACCAGTAACGCACTGTTTAGAGGTCGCGTAAGACCATACCATTCTGATACAGGTAAACAGTAATAAACCTACAAAATGCTCTTGGAATAGGTTTCCCCGCCTTGAGGCGTCAACGTCAATGGCGCAGGCTGCCTGATGCTGTGTTCGCGGATGTTTGGCAGTCAATGAGACAACATTGCCTTGGCGTTGTGAATGCGATGGTACCTACGCGGGACAGAATAAGCTCCCCATCGTGACCCCATCTCGATACTGTTGATTGTGGAGGGTGCACCAAGCGCACCGTAATGCTGTTTCAGTGTACGTTCATTACAATCAAAATCAAATTTATTCACTAGCATCCCACTTCGTTCTATACGGGTATGTTTGAGACATAAAGTAACGCATCCGAAGTTTCTTTTATGGGTTTAGTTTATTTACAAAAACGTGTGACTTTTAGTGTGGATGTTTTCAGAGTTACAGAATTATGTACACTTCATTTCCATGTAAATATGCACCTGGAAAAAGCATCCCTTAGTATATTGACGCGCTCACAGAGCTATGCATGATGATACGAATGATAATAATGTTCATGTAAGAAATTACCTGAAAGAAATTAGAGTTTGCCTGGTGGAAAGTGTCTCCTAAACGCATCCTGTGGAACATATGTTATATTTGGGATTACACTTTCTTAGTAAAGTACAGATTCTAGTACTTTTTGGGTTGAGTCCCATCCGGGATTCGAACCCACACCCTCAGAGTCAGGCACCTAATCGCCAGCACACAAAGTCAGACGACTAGAATGCTCAGCCACAGCGGCTTCCACAAGAATAGAAGTCGGACAACTGGTAGTCTAGACTGCGGACTTTGTGTACCCCTCTGATAAGTGTTAAGGGCACGGCCGAAAGCTATGAAATACACAATGCCATTTTAGAAAGTGGTCAAATGTAACATATGTTATATTTGGGATACACTTTCTTAGTAAAGTACAGATTCTAGCACTTTTTGGGTTGAGTCCCATCCGGGATTCGAATCCACACCCTCGGACGGTCTAGGCGTTTGACTTTTGTGCTGGCGATTAGGTGCCTGACTCTGAGGGATGGGACTCAACCCAAAACGTACTAGAATCTGTACTTTACTAAGAAAGTGTAATCCCAAATATAACATATGTTACACCACTTTCTAAAATGACATTGTGTATTTCACATCATGTGGAGCATGTCCTGATTACAATATCCTTGCTAACAATACAACAGACTTCAGTATACACAAACTCACCGAATCTATTCACAACAAAAACACACCATCAACAGAGATCAAGGATATCTCATATATTTCAGCCTATGATGCACTCCGCATCCATGCCCAGTCAACTGTGTAAACATTTCCTGCTTTCTAAACGACCCCTTCCATTCGTACGACTTTGCCTTCCACATCTTATCCCTTTGTGTATTCACTGGCTTTACATGCCTTGCCAATTATGTTAATTATGTTGATTTCTTTATTACACTCAGTATATATACACTCCCTCTTCTTCATGTTACGTATATTGCATTGTCCTCAATAGTTAAAATGTCTGACAGTTTTTTAAAAATAATTTACCGTTAATTTATTATTAAAGTATAGAGCCTGCAAAAGCAACTTAAAACTATTAGATTCTGTCAGCCACCAAGGTCTGAGACTCTGTCTTGGGTCATTCAGAACATCTCCTGTTGACAGTCTCTACATCGAGGCCGATGAGCCATCTCTTGCACAACGCCGTATAAAATTATCATTACAATAGATTACCAAACTATATTCTAACGAGTCTAATCCTGCATTTCACTGTATGTTTAATCCTCTTTATGAGGATTTGTACAACAAGAAATCTTCTCTTGTTCCGCCTCTTGGGTTCAGGATTAAACCATTCATTTATACTGCGGGCTTTGAGCTGGAAAATATATCTCCTTCCCGTCTTCTTTCTTCTCCTCCCTGGCAATTAGTTAGGCCACAAGTCGACCTAACACTCACTAAATTTAAAAAATCAGAAACTAATGACTTACAATATAAACAAGAATATAATCAATTAAAAAGTAAATATAATACATATTAATGCTTATTTACAGATGGGTCTAAGGATGGTGGCGCAGTGGCTTGTGCCACTGTCATTGGGTCCAAAACAATATCTTCCAGATTACCCAATGACATTTCAATTTTCACAGCAGAAGCGAACGCAATACTAACAGCTCTTAAATACATAAATAGACACCCTAATTATAAACGATATATAATATTTTCTGACTCTCTTTCTTGCCTTCAGGCGATTAAAAATCTTTCTTGTAAACATCCACTTTTAATAGAAATTATAGAATTATATAATGATCTTGCAACTGGCCAATACGACATCGTCCTCTGTTGGTTACCCAGCCACGTTGGCATTTCTGGGAATGCAATGGCCGATCTTGCTGCCAGGGCAGCACTCGGCAAATCTGTGACACCACTTCTTATTCCATACTCTGATTATAAGGCTGTCATCGGATCTTATGTCCGTGATCTAATGCAGAAGAAGTGGGACACCCAAGTAGGTATCAATAAATTACATGAAATAAAACCCTATATTGGTTACACCTACTTGGGTTGTGAGTCCAGATTTGAAGAGGTCATCATGCGACGACGTCGTATTGGCCATACAAGATAAACTCATGAATACCTGTTAAAAGGTGAGGATTCTCCATTTTGTATCCCTTGTGATGAAAGAATCACAGTCAAGCATGTCCTGCTTGATTGTGTTGAATATTCCATCACAAGGGATATCTATTTCAAATCACGAACTATGAAGGATCTTTTTAGTAATATAAGTTCTCATTTAATGATTGCATTTTTAAAAGAATTAGATTTGTTAACTGATTTGTAGATAGATAAATATTTTATAATTGGAAGTTTAAATTTAAAACCCAGATTGTTAGTGGCTGTACCCTCAAAGGGGGTTGAAGTATTGTGAAATTATTGTCCCCCTGAGAGGGTACGTAAGTCCCAAAACATTCAAAGTCAATTTAAATCTATCCAACCTTTTTAATTGTAGAATATGTGGGGTTTTTTAATGTATGGCTAAATGTGCCTAAACTGCTAACGGCTGAAGGGATGGTATAAATCCAGCTAGGGTCCATGCAGGAAGCAAATGTACTGTAAGTCACTATGGTCCCTAGTATGGTGATCTAACTTCAGTTGTCGGCAGTTCTATAGCCTGGTTTTACATTGTCTTGTCATTTCTAGCTAACCTGTTTTAGATTTCATCACTAGTTTTAACTGGATTTCTGTGATATACTAGTAGTGTTACTGTTCTGCTTCAACACGTTTTAATTTTATTGATATATGATATAATCATTAATTGTTCTCGTCACGATATGGCTGAAATATTGCCGATGTGACGATAAATAATAACTCACTCACTCACTCACTCACTCACTATTACATTATAACTTGATTTAATCACGATATGGCTGAAATATTGTCAAAGTGACTTTAAATTTTAACTCACTCACTCTTCATGTTACATTCTTGCTAGACAACGGTACAATATTCTGCCAAGAAACGTACGTCGCACTCACAAAATGAAGGTAGATGTCATTCGTAAAGTTGTAAGTGTCATGCCTCCGTTGATATGTTTTAAACCTGGTTAACCATTTGTTATTTAAGATGTAAAAGAACGTATCACGCATTAAATGTTCTTAAAATATACACATATTCTCTTAATGTACTATTTTCCAAAATGGCCATAAAAAATCAAATTAAGCTGCCCTGAGCAGTTTGGCGTATGGTATTCATAGACAGCAATGTACGATCACAGCCACACAAACCCAGAGCGGCATCACAAAACACCACGTCGGGATTGATTCATTCGCTGTCAACACCTCAGTGATCGCTTCGACCGTATCGAAGTAACATCATGCATCATCACCATCTTGTGTCACCAGTACCAGTAGAGGAAACACGTTTTCCCTGAGTCTTATATAAAGTAAACTGACTACAACGCAACGGTCTTTCATCTGACAACGATAACTAGGAATTAAGCTGAAGTCGTGTGCGTCGATACGTCGATGAATTAAGGCGATAAGTTGTCATTCAGTACATTGCGTTTATGGGTCACGCAGATGTGTATCAACAATGCTTCCATCCGAAACGTCTTACAGTCATATAGTAGCAGCTCCTTTATTTATTTATCGTTAATGTTCGATGAAATGCACCTGTGACAACTATGTAGCATTTATAGTCAAAAGACAGTTAGTTACGTGAAGACGTTTTTCTTTGAATTGATACCTAGATAAAGTCAGCGGTTACCTCGGAACAGATGACATACAGTTTATATGCGTGACATCTGTTTATTATGGCGCTATGCTACAAAAGCACAAATGTGTGTCTGCACCTGATTAAACCTGATTATTAATACCGAGGTCTTCATGGTTTATTGGCCATGTGTCATATGGCTTATTGTATTTCGACGCTCCGTGACTTATTCTCTTAGATGAATTCCTCTTGCTATCGGGCAAACCGTTGTATTGATGAGTCTCGAAATACTCACGGTATCCATACACGGTAACACAGTAATTACATGGTCGCCTTGGGGTAATTAAAAGCGAAAA